CTTTAAAAAATCAGGGCTCGGTCCTCTTCATCCGTCTATGCAGTGATTTCAGTTGAATTTTCACAACAGAAAATCCACAAAGCAATTATTCTGGTCACGGATAAACCCCGCACATGCTTAGCATCTCGTCAGATATGTATATGCATATACACGTAATCATCGAAGCGTAGGAGTTTACTTATTAACATCGCTAAATACTCCAACACATACCAAATGCAGGCCCTGCAACAACTATATCCAATACAGCCTATGCAAGTCTACATTACAGCAGTTTCTGAAAATGAAGAAAGACTTTAGGCTCCTTTTTATTATAATTTATAACTATAATTTAACAGTTGTTAATTTTCTGTAAAATATGATAACTTCAGAGACTAGATGTTAGTCTAGGTTCTAAACACCAAGGTTACACACGTTCGGAGATGTACAACGAAACCTCGTTAGTACGGACACTGTTAGTCTGGACATCCTCAGGACTCCTTCCTTGGTTCCCTGTTCTGTCTAGGTGGGTGCCCATAACTCTGACCATCATCAGAATTTCACGGGTTTGGTCGCCCAGCAGTGAATGGGTACCGGCTGAATGAGATGGAAGATGGTGACTGTTAACCTCGCGCCTCACAGGCAGCATGGGTTGTATACTCCCCATAGAGCTGAGAATGAAGACATGCATACTGATCCACTGACGAGGTAATAATAATAATAATAATAATAATAATAAAGCGCGTGGAGACGACACATGTTAAACATGTATTATTCCGTCTTGGATTTGGCTATGTATGTGTTACGCAAGAAATAGGCGATAACACATAAAGAGGTTAAAAAACTGTGCTACTCAGGATTGAAATGATACGTTAAGCAAATCATTGGAAATGTACAGCAATTTTAAATCACTTTTGAATGGCTAATTTTATCTACTTCATGTAGATTCTCTGTGTACAGAAGAATGTTTACTAAGCATCGAAATAGATATACAATTTAGGCATACGAAAAGTTCGTAGATGTGTAAATGCGATTACTAATAAGGGCTTTTTATGTTTTTGTGTACACATGTACATTGGGTCGTTTGGCCTTTGATACAAATAAATACATATGACTATACAACAAAGGAATTATTTGGTGTTGAAAATTTGTATCAAAGTTATAACAGAAATCCCTTTTTTTATACGAATCAGACTGTCATTTTTTAAAGCATAACTGTATACATAAAATATTGGTGCCAATGAGTGAGTGAGTATTTGTTTGCAATATTACACTACCAGAACGGGGGGCACAGAAATGGGCTTCACGAACTGTACCCATGTGGGGAATCGAACCCTCGACTACCCCACCACTCCTGGTGCCTGAGGTAAAACTTCATGGAGCATGGTTAGCTATCTCTTTACCTTGTACCAATTCTATTCTGGGATGGAACACATAGTTATGTAATATGTATACGCCCAGGTCATTACCAGTGTATATGCTTGGCACAACAGTATAATGCGATAATTCCTAATCTACCACCCACATTTCACATTCTTACCGATTTCCCCAATTGCGTACGGAATAAGCTATGGAGCTCTTACAGTATAAGCTTTATTAAAGGGTGGTTTAATAACAAACAGTGCTGTAAGCATTTCGTGACATTGAAATGACAAATCAGGTGGCTGTATCAGTATTTCTTATCGGGTTATTAATCAAAGCCCCTGTCGAGAGCGTCGTAGCGAAGTCCATGACGTTATGGTTTCTATTTTTGGTGATGACCGTGAGCGTGTCCTGTTGTCTAAGCGTAGTTTGATAAATAAACTGCGTCTTCTCCCTGTTGAAAGTTTCTGCATCTTTAATTCGAAGCCCACCTAATCAATTGGCGTCAGTGCATCCCGAAAAAAGCTACTACTATCTTATTTCATAAATTATTAGAATCCGCATTCTTCACGTTTCTTGGGTACAGGAACCATCGGGTTGGCAGTATATTGTTCACTGGGAATGGGCGTTTTTAAACTTATGGAACAAGAGAGAGAAAAATAAACACAGAAATTGACTTATTTCGAATGTTTCATACATTATCGTACAAAGAGTTTGAAATTGTTGGTGGTTTATCCCTGAGAGTGATTTTGTCATGACAAAGCAGATTTTAAAAGGAGGGCTTCGCGCAGTCACGAGTGACAAAACAGCAACCTTGATAGGTCAGGTAGTAAGATAAAATCTTATATGATAAGATTAGTAAAATATTAATTTTGTTTACTTCGATCTTCACTGAAAATGTTGAAATTTGATCCAAATTCTTCCGACTTGACGGCATTTGAGCCCATTGTTAATGTCACATACGTAATGGTGGGCACTGAACCCCTGAGCGTGTCACTTAATTGTTGTCTAACTTAATAATCTGGATATTTCATAGCCAAGTTTAGAATAACTTATGCGTATGATATTTGTTTGACAGATTAAGAATCTATTTGAAATTTTCAATAAAACTTTGGCACATGACGCACAACCTCTTTTCCTAAAAAGGAAAGAAAACGGGGACGTTATATATATCAAACAAACGTGAATCTTCGACTAGTGTTTGTAGCGAAACATGCGCGTCTGGGACAGTCGAACAAGTGGTTAACAGCATGAACAACGAACCATGTTTTCGGGAAACTGTTAGTCTGGTTTCTCATTATAACCATTCGATCTTCATAAGTCGGTTCTTACAAAAGCATGGTGCACTGGGGACCTACATAATATGCCCAGGAGTCCCCATGTGAATGAATGAATGTGAGTTAACTCAATACCCAGCAATATTCAGCTATAACGTGACATATAAATAATAAAGTCTGGACCAGGCAAACCTATAAGCAACGCACTCTAAGCAACGATTCGCACTACAGGGGGTCTCCATATGGATGGGCCCCGGTCCACAAAGCTGTGTTAGTGCTAAGGTGGTCGTAATTCCCATACTTAAACATAGACAGTCGTAACACTACGATCGCATTCTGGCACTGGGCACCAGCTCGGAATCCCCTCGGCGCATATCAAATGAGTCAACATTAACATGACCATATATTTTTCTTTTAGCAAGCACGTTGATAGCTGTTGCCTGTGCGTTAATTTGGCACCTGTGACAAATCTGACATGGTGCGACATAACACGCGTTTCCAGCTGACTCAGCTTTTAATGACCCTAAAACATATTGGCATGTCACAGCGATATGCCCTGCTGTCCTGTCAATATGGTTCAAAGATCACGCGGTCATCAGAGGCAGGTAAGGTCAGGGACTTTCGTTGTCGAGAGGTTCATCCATAGGGTCGACCTGTCATCACTCTAGGGCATGTTCATTTCATAGGTACACTTTAAATATGGACATGACGCGATCGACCATACCTGTATTCAAGTGTTTATTATATATTCAGAAGTCCTAAAATACTTTTAGGATATATTTCACGTTTATCTGCATTGTTTTTGCAATAAAGATGATACAAAGAGGCGTCACAATTACATCCAAAAAGCGATAGAAGCAAAGCCAAAACAGGAGCACGTGAATTTCAACTGCTGTCCTCATGGCGGCCTGGCATTTTTTAAATTTCAAACCCTGGTATAAACTATACATTAAATCGGGGTACATGCATAATTTCATACCAAACACATACTTCCCTGTTTAGTCGTTTGAGAGATTTTATCAAATCTCAGAAAATAAGAAAATAAATATTCATTTTCCAGTTGTAGTAGATATAATTGTAATCCCGATACTGACACGATATTTGAACAATTGAACACTGTGTTAATACCGGTTCTACAGTCGTTCCTACTAAAACATTATTTGTTGATCATTTGACTTGTGGCCTTTAATGAAACCTTGATAATCCCTTCCCAATGTTATTGTCTGATTAAAACAGATGGTTCAACGAATCATGTGTACGTATATAGTAATGCCCCTTCAAGTATGTCTATACACGTTCCTAATACCACTCGCCAGGAAGACTGAACCTATGAAATAACTGTGTCTGAATGTAAGGGGATTCACTGACGATATATTTGGGATGTCGTTAATTTGGTTGGAAATTGAATAACGCTGCGCAGACGCATGTTTAGATGAACGGGGCTTCACAATAGATCGGACTTAAAGGACAGACCAAAACGTGGTAGATAGGATGTATCTATATGTTTGTACAATATGGGCGAGCTCAAACAGTCGCTGCTGGAAATGTTTGTTGAATTACTCATCACGTAAACCAGGCTTACCAGCGAGGCGCTCTCGCTGTTTCGTGGAAGTATGTCCATTGCGTGTGGGCGTATACCGCCATCAGGCACCGTCTCAATAGCACGAATGAATAAATTATGCGGGCGAGGCAACTGAAACCACCACCAGTATTTGTTAAGCATTGTCAAGATAACTGAAAATGACAAAAGATGGAAACAAATTCAGGCATCACAAAGGCTACATAATATCGTGGCGCACTATAGACCTTAGCACTTTTTGTGATATTAAGTTAATTTATATTTTATGTTTTATATCACCACTTGTATCTTATATCTTAAAGCGAGAAAATTATTGGGGGAACATTTTCAAGGTTATTCGCAAGTATGTAACGTTACCATTTTTATTATTACGCCAGGTACTTTTGAGATGCCCCCTCAACACACAGATTTTTCAGGCGAAGTTTCTAGCATAGTACAAGGTTGTATTCATAGTTCATAATCTCGCACGAAAAACATCATTATTCTCTTGATAGTATGTCATTGCTTGTTATACGTGATTTTATTGGAAGAGTCTTGAAAGTGTAAGGGTGAGTAATATATCCATGGACTCTATGCAATATTAAAATGGACTCTATGCAATATTAAAATGAGAACAAATATATACCAGGTAGTTGTATAACGACCTTGTTATACACAAACACGCTACACGCGAGAAACATATCTGAAACGACGAAATAAAATAAATCCGAAAAGGCTCAACACATATCGTCTCTTCATACTTCGATTTTAGAGATTTTGATAGTACCCCTAAACAAGTGCTCGAAGGGAAGTAACTCTAAATCTATATTGATCAGGCATGGCCGACGCGGGAAGAAAACCATAATATTTACAAGTTTAATTTTTGTTTTGCACAGGTTACAAATCAAGTATGAGTGGAGGTACTGTGTCAGAAACATAATAATCACTCACATAATTGCTGTGTTATGTCTGCATGAATCGATCGGTTGCGTTTTAAATACCGTTAGCGTAAAATAAATATTCACATTTGACAAACAGTCGACAAATTACAACACTTATCATAATATCAGCTTGTAGATAATAATCTGTCACCTGTCTACAGTTAACGGCATATTACCTATTTACATTTTACGTTTACAGTGGTACATTGTTTTTTAATTTATATATTTATAGGAGTAAATGACCGTTATTTAGAGTGAGTGAGAATGGTTTTAGGCCGCTTTTAACAATATGCCTGCATTATCACGGCGAGGGACACCAGAAATAGGCTTCACGTATTGTATCCATGTAGGGAATCAAACCTGGACCTTCGGAGTGACGAGTGAACGGTTTATCCTCTAGGCTACCAAACCGCCCCGACCGTTATTCAGTGACATTCACTTATGTAACCAATAGGCCCTATTGTGCAGCTATTTTGCTCGTGAGATAATTCAAGAACATGTCAGTATGTTTCATAAGGACAAGCTGATATTGTTACCAACATATTTAATATTATCTGATACAGTTTATATACATGTAAACTTTTATATAAGCTATGTGGCACTGAGTTAGCATTGTTGTTAAAGCTTTGGCTCTGAAGCCCCGGGTTCAGTCCCCCAAAACTGATATAATGTGCAAAGTTTGATACCCGTTTTCCTTTTGCCTATACTGGCGTAACCCATACTCAACCTCTAACTTAAACAATGGAGACAAATAGATGCAGCTGACGGTGTCAGGTAGAACATTTAACTGTGAAATTGTAGCCAGGTATTGTTCATCACTGTTTCACCATCATTGTGGAGATAAACTGTGAGTGAGTAATCATGGATGGATTTATGCTGCAAAATTGGAGCAATATTTTGGCGGGGGTGTGTGTGTTCTCATTTGTTCTCTCCACATCTGTACAAAATGGGTTTCACAGATTGTACTGATGTGGAGAGAACAAATGTTTCAACCATATTTGTGACACTTCAGATGGTGAAGAAATTGGAGACTCCCCCCAGGTTACACGGAACCCCTCCCCGCCACCAGAGCTCTGCCAGAATGATGAGGTGCATGGAGACAGTATTGGTCAGACTGCCTTCAGTAAACACTGGCTGTTCACCACCCTGATGAAACTCATTCAGGTAAGAGTCAGGTATTTCTCAAGTCAGTGACTTTTGCCATTGGTCTCAAACTGAGCCTGACCTAGTAAACTGAGCTAATAATAGCCCTTACATAAAGATTAAATCTACTCTTTGGTAAATGATGCCAAAGACAAATTGTTTTGTTTTTAAGAGAAAGTTGTCTTCTATAAGCGCATGAGATGTTTTATAGTTGTTCACGTGATTAAGGAGTAAACTACATATGTTTCTTAAGCATCCAAATACCCATAACAAGGGGATACAGTTACTTTAAGACAGTGTGATAGAATTAAATCACAAATAAGATGCAGGGATTTTTCCAGGATTTCAAACTAAGTGCCCTTGACAGACAAATTGTAAAATTGGTAATTTTGTTCAATATTTTATAATTTTTTACAAAATCCTTTTTTCATAAATTCAGTGGTATTTTAACATTTCATTCAAAGCAAAAACGTAATTCTAAACATTTCAGCTTCTTGTTTCTTCTTCCTGTTAAAAGTGAAGTGCACACATCACCTCTACAAATCAATTACATAATAAGTTACTACTATAATAACATGACTTGGGAAATTTTAATTTCAATTTGGGAATTGTAACTATCATTCGCTTCAAACATTGGGCTGAATATCAGCCTCTGAACTGGTCTAAATAAATCCATGAAGACGAATGAGTGAGTACTCAGCCACAATGAGATACTCTAGATTCACAGTTTCTGATTAAACAAAAAATGTTTATTCCAGGAAGTGGACAAGGAGAATGAGGGTAAAGAGGCTGCTGAGTCAGAGTTTGGGGTGGATGTGGATGAAGACCTTCAGAACGAGCTGTGTAAGCTCTGGGACATGTCCATGAATCCTGTAAGTAACTTTCATGATCAATCTCAATTTTAGATCTTTCACTCCACTATGATACTTATCTGCTTGAAGATCTGAGAACACCACCATCGGAGCTTGCCTCAGATGAACCAGTGTCAGGGCTTCCTATTCTTGCAGTACGAGTGACAATAGCATTGAGACAAGCTTATCTCATTTCTGTGTCTTGAAAACAAATATAATCAAGGAAATCCGAATTAAAAAAATTAATGCAGCGCTATTATTTTATTGTGGATATTTTATACATCCTGTAGTTTTTGAGTGCCATGGCATCTGCCTGCATAGGGGTGTACTATGGAGGGTGTATTTATGTTCTGTGATGATTTTCTTTGGCAGAGATAGACATTTGCGAATCAAGGTGGCAAAATAATGATTCCAAATTGTTTTAGAATGCTGACGTCTGACTGGTTAAAGTACCATGCATTCTTCAATTTGATTGGGAGGTCCATGTTTGTTCTGGGTTCCCCAGACCTATCGAGCTGTCCTCAGATCTTAACAGAGGCATCAAATCGAAGTAAAAGATTTGATTTTAGTGAGATTGCCATAGTGATAACACTACTCTCAGACATACCATGAGGATTCCAGGTTATTATAAGTGTTCATGAACCTATGCTAGTCATACCAGTTTGATGCCTCGGTAGGATCATTCATAGTGCAGGCTACCTTGAACTGTCCAGATATAGATGTTTAGAGCTGACATTGCATCTGTAAAGAACAGTAGTTATCCTGTGTTATAGCTAAATTGATAGAATTATCATTAAACCGCCCTGATGTTCTCAGAAATGAGTGGGACACTGTAACTCGATAATGCCCTCATATTTCTTGATGACAGACCATTATCACACCCGTTGTTAGGTGACGTCATAGGGATAGGTGACGTCACGTTCAATAGTAACATCATCTGGTTTGTTCTATGATGTTTCCAAATTTGTAAAAGTGGGTCAGTGACATTCATGTTGATTGCAGTAAATGTTTCTAAACTGATATTGTTGTTTCTTTTTATTGGATGACAAATTCTGTCTATTTTAGCTATAATAACGGTAAGCCTATTTTTCAAATGCCCTCCTTCATCGGGCAGTTAATGGAAGACCTCAGGTTTCTGCCAATGATAATGCCCCGAAAAATAACGTTACCCTTATAATAATGAACATATTTTGATATTTGTCTCATTTTTTAGGAGGTTGCATCTTTCCTAGATGAATTCAAAGCAGTGGAGATTTTGACTGGTGTGATTGCTAAGTCCAAAGCCCCAAGAGTGACTGTGAGTTCTTTAATATGTTCGTAATCTATGGGGATTCTGGATTAGAATAGGTCACCAGCAACCTATGCTGGTTGTAAGAGGTGACTACTTTTTTTGTAAATGGATCGGGTGTCCAGGCTCACTGATTTGGTTGATTGCATGTCATCACACCCCAATGGCGTGGATTGTTACTCACAATATCAATCACTGGATTGGCACGTGGTGGCACTTAGTCCTATGTATAGTGTGCAGGTCACAAATCAGGCGAAGTTAAGCAGAATTGGTCACAGAGAGTAGTTGGATGGGTAATCGTCTTCAGCAACTTGACTCCTGAGAGTTTCTAGGGCTTCAGGCCTGCCCCACACTGAAGCCGATGTTACACGTGGTGTCTCCTTAGACAAGTGACTTTGTTTGAAGTATGCCTCTGTTCACCCAGCAGTGAATGGGTACCCGGTAGGATGAGATGGTAATGTGACAGTTAACCTTCTGGCGCCTCACAGCTTTGGTTGTATACTCCCCAGGGAGCTGAGAAATAAAATCAAATGTACATTGATCCACTGGCCTGGGTGATGAACTAATGAACCTTGTATTTGTAAGCCCTATACCCATGCTTGTTAGTTCCATCAAAGTGGGAAGCCCAATGTGACATGAACCACTTTGGGCTTTTCCCCCATATTCAGCTCTGTTGAAGTACTAATCTATAGTCCTGCCTCTTGAAATAGAATCGCGAAATTATTAATTAATGAAGACAGCTGCATGTGTGCTAAAACTTATGAAGTGAAAACAAGCCATTCCAGCGATAAGGAATATTACTGACAGTAATGGCAAAAATATGTGGAAATGTTTTGACATTTTTTATAAAGAAAATCACCAGTTTGTACAATTAAATGTTTTTTGGCCATGAGTATTTTATTTCTGTTGCTCAATAAAATCTCAAGGACATCATTTCTTTATATACACAAATAACTTAGGTTTAACTTGAAGGTAGCTAAGAAAATTCAAAATAATATGTTGTCAGTAAATGCTTAGAAATATTAACACCGTGAATTCCACTTCAGGAGATCTGTGTGGGTATTCTGGGCAATATGGCGTGTGATAAAGAGATATGCAAGGTCATCACAGCATGTGATAAGCTGGTGTAAGTATCAACAATGAAAGAAGACATCTTGCTTGTGATGTGGTTAAATGTTCTTTTGTGAAGGCTATGGAATATGTTGGACTTACTACATCAATTTAGTTCATGAAATTAGGAAAACAGTCAGAAATTGTTCAGAAAATTTCAGGGTGTTGAAAGGATGCAAATTATGTTGTTTTTCTCCTTCATCTTTTGCATTTTTAAATTTTGAACACGAACAAGTCTTTGACCCAAGATGACTTTGTTTTGAGACAGTACATTCAATTGGTGAAAAACAGCTTTGGTCACAGACTGCTCATCTCCTGAAGTTTGAAAAATTAACCTTTTTCATTCATCATGTTCATATCAGTCCAAAACTTAAAAGTGAAAGAAAGAAAACACCAAATTGTTTATTTTCCTTTCTGATTACCATGATAACTTTCTTGATTTAATTTAAAGTTTTCTGTAACATATCATTACTATTATCTGTCATTACCAGAGGTACAAACTTTGCCCTTTTTAATCCTCATCCCCTGTCAAACTGTTGAAACTGTACCATTTACCTGTCAATCAAAGTGTCACTATTTTTAAAGTTTTTAAAATTTAGGCATCCTAGTCCTGTTCAAGTGAGGGCGGGGGCGGTCGGGTAGCTTAGTGGTTAAAGCGTTAGCTCGTCACGCCGAAGACCCAGGTTCGATTCCCGACATGGGTACAATGTGTGAACCCATTACCCATTTCTGGTGTCCCCCGCCGTGATATTGCTGGAATATTGCTAAAAGCGGCGTAAAACCTCACTCACTCACTCACTCCCTCACTCAAGTGCGGGCAGTTGAGTAGCCTAGTGGTTAAACGTTCGCTCATCACGCCGAAGACCTGTGTTCAATTCCCGACATGGGTACAATGTGTGAAGCCAATATCTGGTGTCCCCCGCTGTGATATTGCTGGAATATTGCTTAAAGCAGCGTAAAACCATACTCACTCTATGTTCTAATGAATGCCATTTTCTACACAACATTGCTGAATTAGGACCTAAATTCACTCTTATCATTAAAGCTCATGACGTATTTATTTCCTGTATATTGTTTTAAACATGTCATCTATTCAACAGGAAGATGATTGTCATGATGGTTGAAAATCCAGACCCTCCAACTCTAGTGGAAACAACAAGGTAACTATGGTTACATTGAAACTTTAAAGTTCTTTTAAAATCATTCCAAGTTACGTAATTATACAGGAAGTGAAATGATAGGCCACAGTTTTCGCTCACCTGACTAGCAGACAAGAAAAGCCACTAACACTCTCCCTCCACCCACAGGCTGGTGAACACCTGTCTGGTAACTGTCCACTCACACTCTCCCTCCACCCACAGGCTGGTGAACACCTGTCTGTCGATTGTCTACTCACACTCTCCCTCTACCCACAGGCTGGTGTACACCTGTCTGTCAATTGTCCACTAACACTCTCCCTCCACCCACAGGCTGGTGTACACCTGTCTGTCGAACCGTGAAGCGGGGAGTACATGGATCACCAGCATCAAGTCAGACTCAACATTCTTCACCAACATTTGCTTCATCCTCCACAGTTCCACAAACAGTGAGTACACATGTGCTGAACACTTGGCACACTTTGAGGAAGGGTTTAGCTGGGACCACTTTGCATCCCTAGCTTGATTCAAGTCTTTCCAAACACATGTTGTCTGTCTGCCAACATAATGATTTACAGTAATTATATAGACATTGTCACTGTCTTACACATGGTAAACATTACATTGTCTTGATCTTGTTCCACATCACGATCACAGTGCTTTGATTGTGGTAACTGCCACACTGTAAAATAGACTTACAATAGATGTAACACTACACATGCTGAGATGCTTGTAACTCCCACACTTTTACATGGACTTACAATAGTTGTAGCGCTCCATATGCTGAGATGCTCATAACACCCATACTTTAAAACAGAGTTATGTTAGTTGTGGCGCTACAATCTCTGAGATGCTCGTAACTCCTGTATATTAACATAGACTTGCGCTAGTTGTAGTGCTCTAGTCTCTGAGATGCTCGTAACTCCTATACATAAACATAGACTTACGCTAGTTGTGGCGCTACAATCTCTGAGATGATTGTAAATCCCATTATTCAACATAGACTTACGCTAGTTGTGGCGCTACAATCTCTGAGATGATTGTCAATCCCATAATTTAACATAGACTTGCGCTTGTTGTGGCGCTACAGTCTCTGAGATGATTGTAACTCCTATACATTAACACAGACTTTTGTTAGTTGTGGCGCTACAGTCTCTGAGATGCTTGTAAATCCCATAATTTAACATAGACTTGCTCACTCGGAAGAACACTAGTAAAAGATTTGGGTTAGAATTGGTCTTCAGCAACCTATACTTGGATTTACAAGATCTGGTGGTCAGGCTTGCTGACCTAGTTGATGCATATTATGGTATTGAGTAGATGATGGTAATGATAGTAATCACTGGAGTCTGGCGTTAAACAACAAACAAACAAACAAACAAATAAACAAACAAGCAAATAATAAGGCAGGACTAAATTAGGGATTAGATGGTCAGTTTGGTCTGTTACTTTATGATTGTGTGTCATGAAACCCGGACAATATGAGATATTGGTCATGCCATCAACCACTGCCTTGCTTGACCCAGAATCAAACTATGAAGCAAAATATTGTTTCTAACGATCTAGATGAGTTCAGTCTTCCCATGTACTCTGGTTTGTTGAAGCTGGAAAAGACAGGAGATTGAAGGGGAAGTACGGAGTTGTCAACCCTTTGGTTCACCTGACTGAAAGTTGGATGTGGAATAACATTATAGGTGGTTTGGGGTATTTTATGATGAATAGAGTGTGAGTGAGTTAACATTAACATTATTCCAGTTATATCACGGCGTGTCAGCTTAATGTGGGAGGAAAGCCCGAAGTGATGCAGGTCTCAGACATATACCACTTCGGTGAAACCAACGAGCACGGGTATGGTGCTGACAAACCTTGAAACATAATTGGGGCGAACCAGGATTCGAACCCACAATCAGGTTTCTGGCGTGCCCAAGGTACGCAACTCAGCACAGCGAATTGCGGCGCCTTAGATGACTGGGCCACCCGTGCCCCCTTATGATGAATAGAGAAGGTGCAGATAGCTTGTTTCTACTTTATGTGAGTGGTGTCTTGGCAAACAGAATGTTCACTGATATGAAATCATCATGTGACATGCTACTTGACATCTTGAAGTCCTGTTATCATGCCTGTCACCTGTCAATATATCACTCATATCTGATGATTGCTTCATTTCATCCTATCAGCTGATATGGAAACATTCTCTGAATATAAAGAATAATATCATAAATTAATATACATTTAGTGTGGTAAATAGATGACAGCATGAGCAGTGATTAGAACAAAACATTGTAAATGAAGTTTTCACATTAACGTGAGCAGTGATTAGAACACTCCAAAATTAAATTGTTTTACAATTGCAAGAAGCTTGTTTTAAGAGGCGACTAACGGGATCGGGTGGTCACGCTCGCTGACTTGGTTGATGCATGTCATTGTATCCCAATTATGGACTGATGCTCATGATATCAATCACTGGATTGTATGGTCCAGACTCAATTATTTACAGACCACGGTCATATAGCTGGAATATTGCCGAGTGTGGCGTTAAACAACAAACAAACAAACACAATAGCAAGAGCAGTGATTAGAACACTGTGAATGAAATAATTTCACAATAGCACCAGCAGTGATAAGAACAGAACACTGTAAAATGAAATAGTTTCACAGCAGCATGATCAGTGATTAGAACACTGTAAATGAATGTTTCACATTTTTGTGAGCTGTGATTTGAACATTGTAAATAGATGTTTCACATTTATGTGAGCTGTGATTAGAACATTGTAAATGAATGTTTCACGACAATATGTCTTGAATATGAACAGTGATTAGAACACTGTTAAATGAAATAGTTTCCCAATAGCAAGAACAGTGAGTAGAACACTATCAAATGAAATAGTTCCTGAATAGTAGGTGCAGTGATGAGAACATTATAAAAAGAAATGGTTTCACAATAGCATGAGCAGTGAGTAGAACACTAAATGAATGTCCACAATGTGAGCAGTGATTAGAACACTGTAAAATGAAAGTTTCCAAATAGTAAGTGCAGTGATTATAACACTCTAAAATGAAATTGTTTCACAATAGCAAGAAGAGTGATGAGAACATTGTAAGGAAAGTTTCACAACAGTGTCAGTGATAAGAATACTGTGAATGAAATAATTTCACAATAGCACCAGCAGTGATCAGAACAGAATGCTGTAAAATGAAATAGTTTTGCAACATCATGGGCAGTTAATGGAAAGATTTATCACTTCTATTGGCAAAAATCACATTTCAACCACGACCACCAAACAAAATACATTGTGTCTGAATTTGGTCTTTTTGGATGGATAAGAATAATAAGAAGGCATTTACAGGCCACCGTCATGTAGCTGGAAGATTTCTGAGTGAGGGGTTAAACAACAGAACAAACAAACAGTACTACAAAAATGTGCAGCTTTTTGCTTCGTAGCGTGGTGTAAGGGATTTATTACCCGTTCTCAGAAATCCATGTGCAGCCCGTTTCCTTTGTTGCGGGGTAAAAGGGATTTATTCTCCCGGCTCAGAACTATATTTCCTTCTCAGGTGGGGTACATATAATTTTTTCAAGATCAATTGAACCAATCAAATCTCATCATTCTGACATGGAGGTAAGATAAATAATTTTGTAGTAGCTTATTAATCTGGTTACATGCAGTCTGTGTTATGCTCGATTAATCTTGTAAGGTGACACTTCTTTTATTTCTTGGTTTACAGATTTCAAACTCATTTTTAAAGTGAGGTAGGCCAATATATTTTAAAAAAAAGCCTCTCAGATTTTTTTTACTTGAATTTTGTCCTTAAAAGTTAAGAAGGTAGATCTATGAAAAAAATATTATGAAGTAACAAAAGTAAAATAACTCAATTTTTTCAAGAACATTTGATTATATCCCTGACACTCAGCTTGTGCACAAATGGCAATATAACAATATTGGCGACGATTAACTCTTTCAACACCAGCCAACCAGAAGATTACTGCTGTGACACCGAGTTCCCAGAGTCCCAGACAGATGAAGCCAACATTTATCAAGGAAATTATTTGGTTGTAAAACATCTTTGCTTCTACATGTTTGGCTATACAACATTTGAAAGGTCAAATTAATCCTATTGTTTATAAATATGTAAGTTATGTGTATCGCATTATTTAAATAATTCATTTACAACTTAATTAAGTTTGTTATGAAATAAAATAATGTAAGCTAACACATTCATGACGTCCAGATTAAGGACCAAGGAAGCAAAAATTTAACGGTTTAGATTTTATTAAATCCACTTGCCTATTTCTTTTTTTAGTTTCATTGTTTACATAATCGGTAATTTTTTTTTAAAAGAATTACAAATAATATCTGTCATCACCCTATAATAGTGGCTTGCCGCTCACTAACATGAGGAAATACCTCCGTTTTTGAAGCTTCATTTGAATTATATGTATGTCGAAGGCTGCCATGTCAGTATCCATAAAAAAACTTATATTGTTTCACCGATATAATGATAATACAGAAGTAACTTCCACTGGAGTCATTTTGTAGCTGTGACATGTAAAACTTGGTTTCCAGTGACCCTTTCTTGCCGAAATCTGCTACAAGGTCTGTGATTGGTCAAATTTAAGCATGTGACCTAAGGCAGCCAGTCAAATTGCAGCAACGGTACCGTCCTCGTGTATGATAATTTTAAGATTTTGATGAAAGGTTTTGGTTAAATCATGTTATTCTGAACGTTTTAAGCAGGAAATCGCGATAAATATTAAAAATATGGAACTTCATGGATGTATAGTGCTATACGAGCTGTGACAAAGATTTCTTATGCATATATTTTGGCATTAAACATCGTGTACAAGCCAAGAAATAGAGGCGACGAAAGCTGAGATGTCATTTGACTTACATTACACGCGATCACTCGAAAAGATGGAAATGATAACTTAGATATCAGTTTGGCAACTTTCAGATATATTTTTGTTGATATTATTTATTACTTTGTATAATATATTTAAAGATTTGCTTGACAAGTCTTTATTTTGCTGTTTGACATGTTTCATGAGGACCCATTGTCGAAGTGTATGTCCAAGAATTTTATTTTCAATAACATTTCAGGACATAGTGAATAATCTTATAATCTATTGATAAAAAATGATATATTGAAATGGAATATGTATTTCAGACATTGCGAAATGTGATAGATTTAATAAATGAATGATATGACGGGTAGGTTAATAGTGAGTGAGTATGGTTTTACGCCGCTTTTAGCAATCTTCCAGCAATATCATGGCGGGGAACACCAGAAATGGGCTTCACACATTGTACCCATGTCGGGAATCAAACCCGGGTCTTCGGCGTGACGAGCGAACACTTTAACCACTAGGCTACCCGACCGCCCCGTAGGTTAATATAATTGTATACTATTTTGACGTGACTTTGCGTTGACAAGCTTTGATGGATCCCAGCGAGAAATATCAGAGTGACTTCCCTTTGCTTTACACTCGTGTAGGAAATGAAATCTTCTTCTATTTTTTTAATAACTTTTTATGCATTGTTTTAAGTAAAGATCTGC